AAAGCAGGATCGGCACGCTGCCCTGGGCGTCTCCAGACACATCTTTGATGATCGTCAGCACACAGTTGGAAGTGGGATTCGTCTCAAAACACTATACGTTCCCAGTCAGCATCATTCCAACCTGATTGAGCCAAGCACAACTGTAATCTGGCTCAACAGTACGCAGGCGTGAGTGGCAGGTGGCGTAGCTGTCGGTACGAACGTAGATTTCGCTGAATCAGCCGTCTGTGAATGGTCATGGTGGACATTCATGTGCGTGTCGCACTACTGATGGTTGATACCGATGAATCAGGCGCTGTGACAGCTCATCTGACAATCACTCTGTCCTCCCGATCTGCTGTGGTAGACCACTACCATCAGGACACTGAAATCTGCCATTCTTGCAGAATCTTGCCCACCCATTCTTGCCAGCATCTTCTAATCGTCGCATCGCTTCGACCCATATGACGAGCGATTCTCCGATTTGCCCAACCTGCCTCTTTCAATACAATGATACGATCACTTTCAAACTCAGACAGTTGCTCGTAATGAGCTCGAATCCTGTGACGAGATATTTTTTCAATCGCTGAAAGGTATCCTAAATCGCAATGCTACAGAAAATTTGACCATCCGATTGAGAATCGCTTCTTATATACACCTGCAAAGGGCGCAGTTCCAATACGCTGTAGCTCCCACGATTCATTCATTGAACAACAAACTTTAATCATTTGCATGTTTGGTCCAAATGTTTTTGCACACGAAATTTCTTTACAGCCGGGAAACTCCTTCTTGGTAAGCCATTTTTTTTCTGTTGTGGAGTATATACATAAAAAAAATATTTCAAAATTCTGTTTTTGGTTTTGGTTACACCTAAATGCCCCCTATCTCGCCGTGGCTCATTCTGCTAATTTCTTGGATGAATTTCAGAATTGCCTAATTTCTTGTCCTTGCTTAGTTCTCTTTACCCTAATTAATTTCTCGTTATGAATCCCAAACTCCTTATCAACCCCTGATCTGGCTTTATTCCATAATATCTTGAGATATTTGCATTTTTTTTCTGCTCCACCTCAAATTCGGAACCATTTATTTTAGCTAAAATTATCTTCTTTCCTCCTTCAAAGGGAGGAATTTTGAATTTCTTTTCTTCTTTTCCTTCGGGCGGGGAAACAAGTTTTAACGGGAAGTCAACTAGTCCCTGGACGATTATTTCCTTTCCGACCTCAGTGGGGTGTATTATCCTTGCACTTCTCGTCACTACCGTGTTAATTAATTGTATGCCCTGTTCACTAGCATCAATAAGCTCCGCCGTGACATACATCATCTAAAGGGATTTTCAGTCAGACGTATTTCTGTAGATCATTTTCTTTTATCCAACTCCGTGCACAGACATCTATGGATGATTCCGAGTATCTCAAGCTCACGCAATCTACGCCCTTAATTTCCATTTTAACTTTGAATTTTTCAAATGGATCCTCAATCTCGGAGCTTACATTTAAATTTGCTGCTCGAAACTATTTTTCCTCAGTCTTGGGCAGCATGGTTTTATATGACCTATTTCGTTGCAATAGTAGCATATAATCTGCCTCTCCCTTTCCCTCTCTTCTAAGTTGAGAGCTTTCCTGAATTACTTCATTCTTTCATTAATCCTTTTTTTTTAACCAACGAGCTTACCTTTGCTCACATAGTGACAATTTATTATTACTTTCAATTGGATGTTTATCAAAAGGTTTACGGTCCGATGTTTTTGTTGATCTTTGCTTTCTGCGTTTTTTTTTTTTTTTTTTTTTTTT